GGAACAATCAGGAATAAAATACGAGTCATCAAAATGTGAGGCTCTGGGTGATAACTCACCAGGCCCGTGGGGGGCCCAGACTTCTGAATGTGCTGATCAAAAGCCCGTTGGACACGCCAGTAAACAAACACCGGGCCACCAGCCAGGGCGCCTGGACCTCCCTGCGTTCGGAGTGGAGGGGAGCGCACCTCCAGTCTGGGGGCTCTGCAGGGACTCGGCGGGGAGGGGATGGCCGCGGGGCGAGCGCCAGCTAACTTTGGAGGCACGTCCAAACACAGCCATTACTGAAGTTTTAATGACATATTATGCAAAAATATATTGCTGACACTTTAGAAAATACATAATGTTTGGGAAATTATGCATAAACTATTATTGTAAGTTAAATGATAGAATTACCATGTGATCCCACTTCTGGGTAAATACCGGAAAGGATGAAGAGTGGAGACTCAGAGAGACATGTGGGCCCCCACGCTCACGGGGGGGGGGGCAGGAGGAGCACGCAGATCCTGTCGCCCGCCACATATCATGCGGCCCCACTTACAGAAAGTTCCTGGAGGGGTCACGTTCACAGGGCAGAAGGTAGGAGGGAGGCCGCCGGGGCGGGGGAGGGGAGTTGGAGTTTCCTGGGGACAGGGGTCGGTTTGGGGCGATGACGATGCTGATGGTCGCACAGCAACGTGACTGTGCTTAATGCCACAGAGAGGACACTTACAAATGGTTAAAGTGGCACATTTTCTGTTTTTGCCACCATCGAGAAAGGCACTGCTCTCTCAGAGAAACCGGATTATACATTAGGGTTATATAATGTAAGTTCAGCAACTTACAGGGGCTTGTGTTAGAAATGGAGGCGATGAACATGGAACCCACGCACCCTTGGTGCTGTCCTGTCTGCCCCGCGCCCCTTGCGCTGGCGCCTCTGTGCCATGGACACGCGTGTGTGCGCAGTGGCGGCTGCCGCTCGGCCCTTCCTGGCTCCACCTCCCAGGCTGACACATCGGTAGCTCGACCCTGTAGCTCGACCTTTGCCAAGGGCACACGCGGCACAGAAAAGGCAGATGCTGTGTGTCAGGTGGTGTTTGTCCCTGGCCCCGGGCACTGGTGCTGGTGCTGACGTGGAAGGAGGGGCTTGGCTGCTGCTGCTGCTGTTGCTGCTGCGGGTCCGAAGCAGGCTGCTCCCTCTGCACGGATGTGGGGGCGGGTACAGATGCAGGGGGGCGGGAGACAGGGCTGGGGGTGACACAGAGTCGTCTGCCTGGAGCGCCTGCCTGGGTGGACAGCAGTGCCATTTATGGAGATGGAGGGCCCAGGGAGCTCCTGGGCTGGTGGGGGGGTCCAGTGGCTGATGGCTGCACAACTCTGGAGCTCAGAGAAGCCCTACTACGCACCAGGCCCAGGCAGAGTGAGATCCAGTGGCCTCTGTCCTGGAGGAGCTCAGGTCTGTGACAAAGCAGATGAGCCACATACGGGGCGTCCTGTCCAAAATGGCAGAGTGGCTGGGCCCCTGGCCACCATCCTCCCTCTGCTCCCCGGGCTCATGGAGCTGGGGTCATGGACCCGATGCGCCTGCCAAAGGGCCATTTCCGCCCCCATTTCCTCCTCCCTCCCTCTTTTTCCCATGCTTTGTGAGCTCCCGCCACCCAGGCCGACCTGTGGGTTTCTCATCTGCCTGCTCCTTCCCATTTCCAGAGAGGCTGGAACTGGACTTCCTGGTTCTCTCCCGCCCACCTCTGGCATCCAGCCTTTCTCACTCAGACTTGCTGCCTAAGGCCCTGACCCCCAAATTCCCTAAGGGCTGCCACCTGTGGGACAGCCTCGATTTCCCAGGACAGGTTCCGTGGCGTATTAGACACCTTCGGGAGATGTGGCTTTGACACAAGAGAATGACTGAGACGGGGGTCTCTGGGTCTGTACTCGTGCCCCAGGGCCACTGTGACAAGGGACTGCACACCAGGGTCTGGAACACAGCAGAAATGGACTTTCCCCATTCCTGGAGGCCAGAGCCCCCAGTCAGGGTGCTGGCGGGGCCGCGCCCCCCCCGAAGGCTCTAGGGGAGAATCCTGCCTGTCACTTCTGGCTCCTGAGTCCCAAGGGTTCCTGGCTTGAGGCCGCATCACTCCGTTCTCTGCCTCCGACTTCGCGGCCCCTTTTTGCATTTCCCTGTCTCTTCAGCGTGAGGACAACTCTCGGTTGGGTTGAGGGCCCGCCCTAATCCAAGGTGATCTTATCTGGAGATCCTCGTCTTCACATCTGCGAAGACCCTCGTAGGAAATCAGGCCCCATTCTGAGATTCGGATGGACCTGGCTTTAGGGGAGCGCCATTCACCGCACGACAAGTCTCATGCTGGACCTACGAGGCAGGCGGCCCCTCCTGGGCCCTCTATTCCTATCTCCTCCCACGGCCTCCGGGGACTGTGCCATCCCAGAAGGCAGAGAGGGGTCTTAGTTGTGTTTTTCTTGACAAATTTCAGCTCATTTTCCTTCCCTGTGGCTGCTGCTGCCCATTTTATCTGCCCAGGGCCGCTGCCTGCCAGCGTCACTGGCTCAGCCCCTGGCCCTGCCTGCTCATGCCCTGGACAGGGGGGCGAGCCCACCCTACAGGGATCGGGCCTTGTTAAGGTCCTGGAGCCCCAGATTGGACGCAGCCAGCAGGAGTGATCAAAGGCTGGGGCATGATTAAAGGCTGGATGGTTTAAGCCGGGAAGGAGAAGGTCAAGGAGCGCCCGGCTGGTCCTCGGTTTAGAGAAGGTAATTATTACTTGAAGGGCGGTACCCAGCTGTTTCCCATCTCCTCCCAGAACAGGGAAAAAAGGAAATAAATGATGTACAATTAGAGCGGCCAGTTAGATACAAGAGTGGACTTCCGGGATGGCACTGTGGCTGAGCAGCGCCGGGGGGCGTTTCTGGGGGGGAAACGCAGGGAAGCCCCTTACCTGGAGGTGGGCAGCCTGGCCCCAGCAGCCCCAGTAGTTAAAGCAGAACAGGGCTGGAGGCAGGCAGCAGAGGCACCAGACGGGCTCCGGAGTATTCCCATCGGTACAGGGCGCTTTCTGGCACCCTAGGTCGACTCCCTCCTGCCATTGTCCTCTACCCAGAGCATTTCGATGAGGCGTGCACCCTGGCCGGGCTCCCCGAGGAGATAAGCCCAAGTATATTTAGCTCGTCCGTGAATGGCCGTGGAATAAATGCACAATAAGCTGGCCCCGTGCTGATCTGGTGGGGCCTGTGCCTGCCTTCAGGGAGAACAATCGCAGGGGTGTATCTGCGCTCACCAGGTGTTCTTTGTGAGAACACTGGACAGTAAGGCTGTGGCCCAGGCTGGAGACCACCCAGGACCCCCCACATCCTCCCAGGCAGCTGCGGTGGGAGGCTGTTTCTTAGGGGTCTGGAACCACCAAACTCCCAAATATGGGGTGGGCAGGTATCCCGTACGGTTGGACTGTTGGGTGGGCCCAGGTACTGGTGTTCACACGAGAAACACCCGTGTTGGCGTAGAAGACACCGGGCGGGGGGCCATACAGTGTCGACGCCGCTTCTGAAACTCAGGCACCCGGGCCAAGGAGGGTGTGCGCGCCTCCGAGATGGCTGTGGTTTTACAGCTCCCTGTCCACAAACTCACTTGGTTGAAAATAGTTTAAAGTATCCAAAGCATGAGGGAGGGAGTGGCTGCTTTCCTTAAAAAGGAAGAACTCAGTTCTATCTGCTGAAAAAGCCCACCCAACCTGGTGCATGGTCAGCAAGAAGCCCCAGACAACAGGGAGGCAGTCAGGCCTCTCAGCATCCTTCCCACATCAGAACTGGGGGGCCGGTGGGGGGGGCCGTGGCAGTGACCAACCTGAGAACTAGGAGGAGCTCTGGGCTCTCCTGTTCTGATCTGTCCACCAGCTCCGAGGGGCGCACTCTATGTGGCTAATTCTCCCACTGCCCGCCTCCCCTGCAGACTTTGGACAGCGGCCGTAGGTCTGAGGTTGTGAGTGGGAACGGGCAGGAGTGTCTAACGGGCTCCCCGAGGGGTGTGGAAGAGACCCCTCCCCCCACCCAGATGTCAGTCGCAGCCCTGAATAGCCCTTTCTGGGGACTTGGTCCTGTGGCTTCACAAGTTCCAACCCACCCTGTTGTCCTCAGCCCCTAGGACGCGCTGGCCTGGCAGGTAATAGGGTTTAATCAATGTTTGTTGAAGGGACAGAGATGCGTAAACGTTAACTGCCCTGGAGCCTTGGGGCCCAGACCGGGAGGGGAGCAGGAGCCCACCCCTGGCCCCGCCTCACCCCCTCCTCCCCAATCTTAACTCCTTATCTGATAACTTCTAGGGGAAGAGACCAGGTCTGTGCTCTGCCTTCCAAAAGCCGCTTATGGGGGGGGGGCGGGGAGCACAAGTTCCTGGCTCTTGTGAAAGGGCTCTCCATCCTTGCCTCAAGCCCCCGCTGGGCCAGCGCCTTCTGTCATCTGTCCCCGCGGGCGCAGCAGCGACCCCGGTGGAAGCGTGGGGGTGGGGAGTTGCTGAAGGGGGGGGTCCCCCCTCTGAGCCACGTGACTCTTGCGCTAGCCCCTCGGCTCTTCGCCAACAACAGGCCAGGATCCTGCGGGCAGCCAGCCCGAGCGTTTAACCCTTGCAGGCGCTGAGCACGTGAAGGCGGAGGCAGCCAACTTTGTTTGCTTGCGTAAATAAAACCTCCCGCAGAAAGAACTCTGAGCCCCAGGGAAGGGGAATGCTGTCTTCCCTCCCACCCCCTCGGCCCCGCCCCCGCGACTCCACATCCGCCCACATCTGGCCGCAGCGGGGCGTTGGGGGAAGGGGCTGGCCTACTCCACCACTGACCCCTGGGCGTGGGCCGGTGGGGGCGCAGCGGGGCACTCGGGCCGGGCACCCGGGACTCGGGCTGTCCCTCGGTGGCATCTCTCGCCCCAGCCCCCCAGGTCCCAGCCTTGACAGGCGGGCGGAGCAGCCAGTGGAGCCCGGGAGGCCGGGCCACAGTGTGGGGGGAACCTGATCCGCCCAGGAGGCGGGGGCGGGAGTGGGGCGGGGGCGCCAGGAGCCGGAGGCCGGCGCCCGCCCGCCTCCCCCATTCATTCAGCAGAGCCCGGGGGCCGAGGGGCTCCGCGGCCAGCTCTGCTCGGCAGGACCTCGGGCGCGGCGCCCCAGCCAGCGCGCAGGGCCGGGCCGGCCGGGGCGCTTCCTCGCCGCTGCCACCTTGGGCGTCGCGCAGCCCGCGAACCACCATGTCCGACCCCGCGGTCAACGCGCAGCTGGACGGGATCATTTCAGACTTTGAAGGTGGGTGGGTGCCGACGGCCAGCCCTGGGAGGGCTCGGGCTGGGCGGGTGCGCGGAGGGGGCGGCGGGACCCCCGATGGGGCGCCCTCCCGCTGCGTGCCCCCTGCCCCGCCCCGCGTTGCCTACGCAGAGGACCCAGTGTGGGGACAGCTGCCGCCTGGGTTTCCTTCCTTTTATTGTTTGCGTGCGCGGAGCGACAACAACCTCCCCGAGGGCTCGCGGGGCTTCCTTGTAACGCCGGGTGGCGAGCGGTTTTCCTCTCGGCTGTTGCTCAGCTCCCTCCCTCGGGCGCTCGGGTGGGCCTTGGGAGGCCGCTCAGCCCTGCCGCGGTCCGGGGAGTTGGTTACCCGCCCCCCACCCCCGGCAGCCCGGGAGGACGAGCCCCTCCCCCACACCAGTTTCAGCCTGGGCTGAGCTGACTCTGGCTGGGGCGGGCCACCGAGTGGACACCGCGAGGTCTTGGGCAGGGCGCCCCATCGTCTCCCACGCAGGCCGGGGGACACCCTCAGCCACCTCCCACAGTCAGGCAGCGTGGGGAAGAGGGGGTCTGCGTGCGAGGAGGGAGTGCACTTGGGCCAAACCCCTCCGAGGGGTTTACAGAGTGTGGGGAGCTTGGTGTCTCTCCCTAGGAGTGCGCCCCTCACTCATCCCAGCTTTGGGGGGGTGTGTGTGTTCACACGCGCTCGCGCTTTCGTGAGCCCTCGTAACCGCCCGCAGGCTCCGCGTCCTGGAGAGTAAATACAGTGGTCGGAAGGGAAGCTCACACAATAGTCTCCAGCACTTGGGGCCGGATTTGGGGGGGGGGCGGGGCAGGCCTGCCTCTGCTGGGACCTGGAGCCCCCGCCCCGCCCCTCCCCTCCCCTCGGAGGGGCTCCCAGGCAGCCCAGGGCAGAGCTCTCTGGTGGGCTCGTGTGGGGCACGCGGGGCTGGAAGGAATGACATCAAGTTCCAGGCTGAGCCAGGAGGTCTTCCACCCTTCACGGGCAAAGCCAGAGCTGGCATCTGGGTGCCCGGAGCCCCACGGCTCACGCGCCCGCCCGGGTCCAGCCCCAGCTGCTGCCAAAGGTCCGAGGGTGAGACTTAGCCCACTGGAGAGGCTGCCCCCTTCAGGTTCACCCAGGTGGACGCCCTCTGGGTGACCAGGGGAGAAGGTCCCCGAAGCATCATACTGGTGCTGGGATTTGTGAGGAAAAGTGGGGTTTGCTGGGTGCCCTGAGGCGGGGTGGGAAGGCGGTGCTGTGGGGTCATGTGGTCCTACAGCTGTCACAGTTCACCCGGCATGGCCCCTTATTGTCTCGGCCTGGGGGCGGGTCCCCATCACAGCGCCTCCCAGGCAGCTTCTTGACCCTCTACTGCCGCCGAAGACAGTGGCCCGGTGGAGACCACCCCAGGGAACAGCGGGCAGTCCCGTGACTGCAGGGATGGTTCTCTCACTGTCAGGGAGCCCCGGACCCGCGTTGCGCGCCCCGAAAAGTTCCAAGCACTCTGAGGATGGGGGTTCAGGCTGCTTCCCCTGCTTCCCGAGTGGAAGGAAGTGTGCCTGAGTGTGAGTGCACCAGGTCGGGGAGCAGAAAGGCAGCCTGCCCAAGTGCCCGAGGACTCGGAGTGGAGCTGGCTGTGGGGGATGGGCAGCCTTGGGTGGAAGGACGTACGTGGGGAGGGAGAAGAGGGCATGACCCAGAGCAACAGCGTGTGGGACGCGGCAGGCAAAGGTCACGGCTGGCTGAGCACAGGCCCTCATGGAGGGGGTGGACCTTGAGGGGAAGTGGGGACTCGATCTCGGGAGGCAGGAGGAGAGTGTTCCGTCTGGTCAGGAGGGCAAGCTGGGGAGGCCGGAATAAGCTGGTTCGTCAGGGGCTGGGGCATGAGGAGGGGCGAGCTGGTGGCTGTGGAGGTCAGGAGTGCTGCCTGGGGCCCGGACCGGCCTGGGGAGCAGCCGGAGTGAGCGAGACCTATCCGGAGGAGCGCGGGTCTGCTTCTGGGGGCTTGGGGGGGGGGGCTTGGCCACGGCTGCTGCACCGCCAGGATTTCTGTAAGTCAGAGTGAAAGGGGCCAGAGTGGAGCTGCCAGCTCCTGACCACGACTGGTTGTGCCTGAGGCCAGAGGCCCTGCTCCCTTGTGACAAACGGTTGCTGGGGGATGGAGGCCCTGGGGGTGTTTTCGACCCCAGCAGACTGGCATCCTGCCACAAGGCCAAAGGGTGTGTCAGGGCGTTTGGAGGTGGTGGTGCTTTCCAGGCCAGAGTGGTACGTCCTGCAGGGCAGCTGGAGGCTCCCTGGGGTGGGGCCTGGGGGGCGCCGGGGACAGAGGGCAGCTGCCTTGGGTGGCGCGTGTGTGTGTGTGTGTGTGTGTGTGTGTATGTGCGCGCGTGTGGGGCGCCCCACGTGCTGGGCACGGCTGTCCCCTGCCCTGAGGGGCACTCCTGTCTCTTTATCATCTTATCTCTGGTCTGTGCCCACCCCTTGGGGACCCAGGCGATCACCGTTCCTGAGGGTGAGATTAGTTCTGTCACTGAGGTGGCGCCGGGATTCAGCCTGTCTTCTCTTTTGGACTTGTCCGTCAAGTTCAGGCCCCGCCCCCGGGGGACTGAGAGCGTGGCGGTGCCCCCCCCCCAAACATGAGCCTCCCTCACTGCCTTGGCCTTCCCCTCACCAATGACGTTGGGGCTCCGTGGAGACCCCCCATGTAGGGGCCAGAAGAATACTTTGTACTCTGCCCTTGTGATTTTTTAGAGGCCCATTCCCTGCTCTTCCCAGGACAAACGGACCGGAGGTGGCCTCAGCGCCAGCTGATGGGGTGGTGGGAGGGGCGCCCTGTCCCCTCTCTGGCTGTGGATCGGTGGAGGCCCGGGCCGTCGAGGACGGTGGGTCCTTCAGGGAGTGTAGGCTGAGCCCGTTGTCACCCAGGCTGCCCCAGCTTGGGCCTTTGTGCAACAAAAGCCGCCCCGAGCGCTGCTGTGGCCCGCTTTCCCGGCAGTGTTTGCCGTAACCAGATTCGCAGGCGGAGAAAGAATCCGGAAAGCCCTTGATGTTTGTAGAAACCAGACCAGGCGCTCTGGTCCCAGAGCCATGCTGTCGCTGCGAGGATGCCAGCCCTTCTGACCCCCCTCTGTCTCCTCCGAGGACCCTCTGACCAGGCTCCAGGCCCCACAGGAGATGGGGGCAGGGAGAGGGTCCCCTGGGGTGGGGCGTGGTACAGTGTACAGGACGCCTCCCTGGATGCTGGCCCTGCAGCTGAGAGCTCTCCTAGGGTCTGACGGCCACTGAAGCATTGGCCTGGGTCACTTCATGTTCAGGACACGGGCCCAGGAGGGGGTGGACACGCGTGCTCTGGGCAGCAGAAGGGCTTCTGTGATCTGCCTCACAGCTGGGCTGAGGGTCAGACCTGGGCCGAGCAGGTAGGGGCAAGCACGGGGTCCCCCCACTCTGTGTAGTGACAGCCAGGCTTAGGAGGGCGAGCGCACACGGCCTTTGGACGCAGTGGGGGTCGGGTCGGCCGTCTCCCGCCTGCTGGGAGCGTGGAAACACCTCTCTGAGGGCCGTGCTGCTCGGGGGGCATGGCGGATGCTTTCGAGGGACAGGTGGGCCTGGGCTCCTGAATGTCCGGGTCAGGGGGGTGGCTGGAGTGCAAAGGCCCAGGCAGGGGCCTGCGATCCCCTAGGGGCAGGGTTCTTCCCATCACAGAGGAGGCTGGGGTCCTGGGGGTCCTTCTCGGGGGACGTTGACCAGCCTTCTCTACCATCCCCTGCATGCCAGGGCATCACAGGTGGGTGGACCACAGGCCTACCTACAGGGCCATGTGGGGACAGTGATGTGGGCTCGTGCTGGGCGACTGGACTGTGAGGACAGGGGTGCAGTCAGGCCTCCTGCTGGAGGTTCTGCTGGCCCTCCGCCTTCCTGAAAGGCAGGGTGGGGGGCCGGTGTCTGGGACAGGAAACCAGTGTCCAGGAGGGTGTCCAGCCTGTCCAGCAGCCTGTGCAGGCCCTGATTGTGCAGGTGTGGAGCCAGGTGCCCAGTGAGGACAGCGGTCTCGTCTCTGGCCAGGGGAGAGGCATGTGTGTCTCTCACGTCCACGGGGACCAGTGAGTGCGGCGGCCCTGGCCCTCCAGGGCATGGGAGCCTGGCACACACCAGGGTCCGCACACACCAGGGTCCGCGGCAGGGGCCCTTGTGCCTGGAAAACAAGCCCACCAGAGTTGTTGCCCCTGGGCCAGCAGCAGGCATGGTGCTGGCACATGGTGGGCGCTTGCCTAGGCTGTGTCTGTGGGGGAGGGTGCCCTGCTGGCCCCTCATCGTGGAGGGTCACCAGGGGAAGTATGGACGTGTAGAGGGTGTGCTTGCTCTGTAGGGTCAGGGGCTTCTCCGCCTGCTCACTGTGGCCTCCACGTACCTGCTGGGAGGCCGTAGGCCCCCCCCCCCGTGCTGGCTGAGCAGAGCAGGGTCCCTCCTGCTTTTCCTCCTTGCAGACCCAGAGATCAGGGGAGGTCACAGAGGTCAAGCCTCCCACTTGGTTCCCCAGATGAATTCCCCCGCCCTTGGTTCCCCCGCCCTTGGTTCCCCTGCCCTTGGTTCCCCCTAGGGTGGGTGGGCACTGCTGCTGAGCCCCCTGGGGTACAGACCGGAGCACTGGGCCTGCTGTGGGGCCCCTGGGGCCAGGTTCAGGGGATCTGTGTTGGCCTTCAAACCTAGGAGCTCACCTCACCGCCAGGCCAGAGCGGGCGCTTCCCTCTGGTTTGGAGACCCCCTGAGGGCAGAACTGTGCTGTGCTGTGACCGGACAGAGGGCCATGTGCGGCAGACCCTCCAAGACGTGGTGGTGCCTGTGGAGAGGTGGGGTGGGGGGCTCTGGGGGAAACTGCACCCCAGGAGGGCTCTCTCTTTTTGATTCATCCCAGAAACCCCGCCAGGAAAGGAGCGCCTAGGCCTCACTTGGCAAAGCCACTGAGGAAGAACGGTCGGACGGTGGCTTTCTTTCCAAAGCTCTCTCGGTTTTTTCCCAAATT